CACAAAATGGCGGCCGGTGGCGCAGCCTCCCCCCCCCACACACACACACACACAGAGCGGCAGGTGCGGGGCCTGGGCCTTCCGCCTCACCTTCTCGGCCACCAAGGCCTCGGCCGCCTCCTTCTTGGGCTCGTCCTTGTGGGCGAAGGGCGACTGGAAAGCGATCTTCACCATGGTGGCGGCGGTCGGGCCTGGGCCTGCCCCTCCTGAGCCGCCCCGGGGCGGCGGCTGCTGCTGCTGAGGGTGCCTGCGAAAGGGAGGGTCGCCTCCGCTGGGGTGCCGGAGCCGGTGGTCGTCGCTTGTGCTGCTGCTGCTGCTCCTTCCTCCTCCTCCTCCTCTTCCTCCTCCGGTTGCTGCGCAGCAGCCTCTCCCGAACTCCCCTCGGCGAAAGGGCGGAGCCTAAAAAAAGGGGCGGGGGGAAGAAACAAAACGAGCAGAGTCACGTGGCCCGGCCCTCCGGCTTCCAAGGGCTCGGCTTGGCGCATGCGCAGGAAGCCCGCTCTGCCCTCCTCCCGCGAGGTTTTTTCAAGAGGCCGAAGGGAGGGGGTGGCGGCGCGTGCGCGGCCCGCCCGTCCTCTTCTCTTTTCTTTGTCGCCCCGCCTCTGCCGGTCGGGCAGCCAATCAGAGGCCGAAAGGAAAGCGAGGAAGAAGATGGAGGGATAACCGCCTCGCCCCGCCCTCTGCCCCTCGGGCAGCCAATCACAGGCCGCCGGGCTCCCCCTGAGGGCCGAAAGGGAAAGGGAGGAATAAGATGGAGGGATAACCGCCTCGCCCCGCCCTCTGCTCCTCGGGCAGCCAATCACAGGCGGTCCTGCGGGCCGAAAGGGAGGGGCAGGAGGGGGGAAAAGAAGATGGAGGGCGAGCTGCGGATGTCATAATAAGAGCCTGTTTGCTAAATAAAGTATATAAGTTCAAATAAGAAGGAAGCAAAGTGTTCTCATTCTAAAGGCCCAACATTTGATTTCAGCGTGAGCTGGGATGGCTGGAAGGCCACTTTTCCAGACGCAGGACCCAGAGCTGTCCTCAAGTAACAGAAATCCCATGATTTTTCTAATTAAAAAAAAAAGATTAAAACGGCCAACAAGCAACTTGCTTGCCTCACCAGCAGGGTCAGTCCCTGTGCAGAACGGCAGGAACGCACAGAATTGCAGAGTGTGCACATATGCATTGCTCCTTGCACTGATAATACCGTATCTCCTCTCCCCAGACTTAACTGCATTTGCAAATAAGAGCGGAATATGATGGTTGCTCCTTGGTAAACAGTGATATATCTCTTGTCACCAGATGCCCAAAGGGAATTTGGCGGCTTGACCCAACTTCAGTGGGCCTGCCAGCTGTAAACATACCTGCACGGGGACAACCAGGGCACAGTAGTTCATGCACTGGTAACCACCTGGTTAGACTACTGCAATGCATGCCACATTGGGCTGCCCCTGGAGACAACATAAGTGCAGCATCTGGCAGCTACAGAGCTGGCAGTAAGACCCTTTCAGAAATCATATGATACTAGTTCTGAAATAATTGTGCAGGATGCCGGCATGCTGGCAGGCAGAGTTCAGGGTACAAATAATGACCTCCTGGGTGCTGGATATTTGAGGGACCATCTAGTTGCCGGATCATTGAGATCAAGCAGTGGATGGGGTGTTTGCCTGCTCCTGCCCCTGAGGACAATGTGCTATGTGGAGAGGCCAGAGAGGAATTTCTTGACCGCAGGACCTCCTCACCTGTGCAATATTCTTTCCTTAGAAGCTTGACGGGCACCAACATGGATTTGACTTCAGTGCCAGGTTAAAACACGGCTGGTCACCAGAGTCTTTGAAATCTGAGGATCTTGGTTGGAATAACTCGTGGAGTCATTTGTAATATATCTAGTTGGAATGGCTTAAATGGTTTCTCTTATGTGTTTTAAATTTCTTCAGTTGTTTTATTTGTTTCTTGTCTTGACCCCACCCTGATAACATTTGGCTGGTGATGAATATTCTGAATAAATAAATGCATTTGCGAAAGCTTTACTTTGGGAGTTGCTCTGACACATGGTATAAATTGAGTGTGTTGGGAGAGGCACAGTTCTGTATATTTTACGATTTATCCTGTTTAAATCAAGGATCGAGAATATATAGTCCTTCAGAAGTTTGCAGGTTGTAACTCTTCTCATTTCTCAACATTGGCTATGTTGGCCAAGGTTGATGAGAGTTGTGGTCCAACCCCATTCAGAAGACCATGAGTTGGTTTATGTCTTTTGCTTGTTGTTGTTTTTTAAGCAATAAGCGTAATTTGTGGGAAATGATGGGTTATTTTTAAATTTTCAGATTTGAAAGCCAAACCAGGTTCAAACCAAGAAATGTAAAAGATAATAAAGTAATCAAAAGGAGAGAATGTATGATGATGTTTAGCATTAACCCCAGACAAGCAGTGCCACAAATGTATGAGCAAATCATCATCATCATCTTAGAACTGCATAACTAGAAGGGACCCTAATGATCATCAAATCCAACCCCTCTCAAAGAGGAACAGCGAGGAATCAAACTCCCAACCTCTTAAGCTACTGAACTATCCAGCAGTTTTGTTCCTTTCACACTGGATTAAGCCACAGCACCTATATTTTGAGGGTGAACAAACAAGCATTCCTCCAATGCTGGAGGTGCCTTCTTGGGTTGCGGAACACAGAGATTAAAGTGTTGGGTTGCTCAATGCATGTCCTTTGAGCCCCACATCAGGTAACAGGAGACAGTGATCTTTGGTGTTCCTGAACTTCTACAGCATTCTTCTCAGACTGCCAATATCGTCCTGCATCAGATAATTCTTCAGAACTCAACCTTTGCCTTCAAACATTCCTTGGTTAATTTCAGTAAACAAACTTTAGGGATTAACTGACTAAATTTGGAAGCACGAATCCCTCTTCTTTCTACACATTATATTATGTTTCGCCACTATTTACAGCACGTCCACTTATTAGCTAAGGAATGAACATGATTAGACTGAGTGGGAACTCCTAGGATCTGGCTAAAGTAAGATCTTGGTCATCGCCCAATAAAAAACCAAAACGAGCAGCATTTCCTACCAAAATAGGGTCACCAGGGTGAACAATACTACGGTCCAACTCATAGCAACATTTCATTTTGTCCATGGGGTCACGAAGAGTCGGACCCTCGTAGCAACATTTCATTTTATGCGGCAGTGCTGTACTACTGAGGGCTTGAAAGTCGATATGCGGTCCATCTGGATCGTTCCTTGTAAGGCAATACGGGTACAGGCCAAAGTGTAAATATGTTGTAGTCACTCTGATCCTGGTGCTGGCTTTCATATTGCTATTGTCATACCTGAACTGATCTGATACAGTTATAGTAGGGCTGTCCGTTATGAGTGGTAAATGATGTAACTGAGGAAAACCCCCTCTCTAGCTCAAACCCTGCCACAGCTTGAATTTGCTAGGTTGAATTTAATAATCTTTGAGCTGTGGAGCAGGAAGGAATCCTATGGATCATGAAGGCCAATCACTGTCCAGGAGGCACAGTGGGGGAATCGAACTCCCAACTTCTGGCTCCACAGCCAGAGATCAAAACCACTAAGCTCTCCAGCAATTTGCTGTACTGTTCTCTTGGCTGCAACTTCACACTTGTAAAACTAACCAAGAAACCAGCTGGTTGGATAACTCAGTGGTATAAGTCCCTGGCTGCAAAGCAAGAGGTTAAGAGTTCAGTTCCATACTGGGCTTCCAGGAAGAAGAGCCAGCCTGTGTAGCCTTGGGACAGCTGCACGGTCCCAGGGGTGCCCCTAGAGGAAGGGAAGGGTAAAGCACTTCTGAGTATTCTTTATCAAGAACACCCTGAAAAAGGCTGCCATAAATTAGAATTGACAACATACAGTTATTATTATTAACTAAGAAACTTGTGACACCTTAAAGACTAACCTATAAAGCTTTTATAAACTGTATCACGTGTCATCTATAGCACAATGTGTTATCTAGAATTTTTAAAGAAGTGAGGCTCAATCTAGGAAAGCTTATGAAGCCTTCAGGCTGCCAAAGTCCATGTGGTTGTTTTCGCTGTGACAGACTGACACAACTACCTCTTCGTTAACAGTCGTACGCAGAGAATTGCAAAAACTGGGAGTGAAAGCTACGTTACACATTGGTAATGGAATATGAAAGAAGTTGGAGTTTTTAAAAAATAGGTCCTTGGCCCTGGCTGATCCCCCCTCCCCCCGTCACTCTTTGTTTCGATTTTCATTTCCTTTTTCTCTCTGACATTTTTAGGAAAATAAAATAAATCTCTTTTCATGACTGAAAAACAAGGTGGGAAGGGGATGGGGTATGAAGAGGAAGATGTGCTCCTTCTGTACAGAAAAAGTCATACCAAAAAAAATTTGCTGGGTTCTCTTCATGCTCAGAGAAACACCACAAAATGGTTTAGTTGAGGAATGAGAAGGATCTGAAGAAATTATTAATCGGCCAATTAAGTGAAAAGAGAGAAATAAACTTCCTCAAATAATGCAGCTGTCTTACAACTGCGTTTTTCTAACCAAACCATGGAGGGAAAGGGGGATTTTAACAATAGCAAATAGCAGCCTGTTGGTGATGGATGGATGGATTGATGGATAGCTCGGTGGTTTAGGTCTCTGGTTGGGCGGCCAGAGATTGGGAGTTTGATTCCCCAGTGGGCTTCCTCAGAAGGGGCTGGACTCAATCTGCAGGTTGCTTCCCACTTCCGCAGTTCCAAGATTGTGAAATTATTTCAGAACAGTTCTTGTGAGTCATAGCTTGTGTTGGGCAGAGCTAAGGGCAAAAATTAGGACTAAACGGCCGCAGCGTTATGCCATAAAGCTCCTAGTTCCGGTCTCTGAAGCAGAGACGGGCAAAACATACTCCCAAGCACACACACCATGACAACGCAACACATCCATTAAAAAAAAAAAAGAATTAAACAGAATTTTCTCAGAAAGCCCCATTGAGGGAAGAGTTTCTTCTGCTCTAGTGAGACCTCCTGAATTGTTGTTGTTGTTGTTGTTGTTGTTGTTGTTGTTGTTACTATTATTATTTAGATTACGAGGATTAACCACTATATAGGATGTAAGGTGGGCTTGATGGCTTAGTGGTTTAGGTCTCTGCCTAAGGAACTAGAAGTTGGGAGTTCGATTCTCCACTGGGCCTCTTTGACAGGAGCTGGATTCGATGATCTATAGCTCTGTTGTTCAGGATGATTGTCCTGATTGGTTCCTGCACATGGGGAAGGTGCCAGTCTGTTTTAGGCTTCAGGTGAGCAAATGTTTTGGATCGGCCCTGCCTTTGGGCACCATGTTCTCAGCAGAACCCTCTTCCCAGATTTAGCCATCTTGATGTTGTTTATCCCACTGCCAGAGCACGGAAAAAATGGCGTGGTGGTAGACTTCAGCTTGCAGAATCCCCCAGCCAC